TATACTGACTCTATCCCATTCTATATGACCTCAGTGAGGTGTCAGGTACATAGAGATATTCCCCAGGTCACAGTGACTATACAGACTCTATCCCATTCTATATGACCTCAGTGAGCAATCTTGACAACTGGTTTATCCTGCATATATCAATGTTTAATATGATGCCCTCATAAATATGCAGAGACCGACTACTCCACCTCACATACACAATGTGGTAATCATGATGAGACATACGTACACTGACATATTTTCTGTGAGATGACAGAGAATAATAAGATCTTAGCTCTGTCGATGTAGACAGGATTCACACACACAAGAGGATATCATCATATTATATCTTTATAAAAATATGTAAATATTTTAGTTTAGACAAGTCCAGGCAAAGTAACTACTGATGATAAAATGATTACTAACAATTAACTATGAGGCCATGCCTTACTGCAGCCACATCGCTTCCTTTTTTCACAATTGTAAATTTAAATAAAAATTCACAAAAATCTTCTTATTATATACTTATTTGTGTAAGCGCTTTTTTGTCTGTGATAGTGCTTGTTTTTTACATCTGTATCTTTTTTCTCTGATGTATAACAAAATATTTTGTGTCACCTTTTTTCAAGATTGTTACAGCATTTTGCCCTTTCGATCCTTCCTTTCAGCCAGAAGTCCGTGAATTATCAGACTGGGTGTAAAATTAAACATATCATAATTTTACTAGTATATATGTATATGTACTTTTTCTCATCTGAACCCAACTAAAAAGATGATGTTTCAATTCATTCATATCAACACCATCAGTAAATTTCAGCACATATATATCATTAGCAAAATATGCCACCAAATGCCACTTACAGCTATAGTAAAAGTTAGCAGAGGTGTTTTGAAAGTGAATTTACCAAAAAGTAGACAAAATACATGTAGATACATATGCCACTTATAACATCAAGAAATTTAAACCAGCATATTATTGTAAGGAAAAAATGATATCAGAATTTTTCGGTAAATATGTTTTATTAATTCCCCCATCCTTCAATCCCCACAAAGCCAACGTTAGGAAGTCCAGTTATACTGCATGTACATGTATATATATATGCACCATGCTGGAAGATACAATTTGTCTTTCTCATATTACATGCTTTTGTGGACCAAACAAATTAATTCTACTTCACATGTACATCAGTTAATTAACTAGCTTGGGAAAATCCTACAATAAAAATCTTAGCTGCATTTTCATGCTTATATACTGTATATAACAGTTCCTTTACTATTCTTTTTTATTTGACAAATTTGAAGTTTCTATGGCTGAAATAATTTAAATATTTTTAAACTGACATCTGAAACCTGACGGATATATATATATATATATACATGCATGCATGCATGGTGTCACAAAAACTTGAAAGGCTTTTTGAGATATGGCTGAAAAAAAAAAACGTACTGGTTTATTCGTACTCTACTAGTTGACATCGGTGTGTTGATTTTCAAGCATTTCCCTCTCTCTCTCTCTCTCTCTCTCTCTCTCTCTAAATATACATTTTAAATGTGCAAGCACAGTTTAATTTCCGTCAAAGCTGGTAAAGTTCCCTGCAAGGTAGGCCATACATACATGTATGTATATACAGCTAGTATTACTATAATGCATTAATTGTTGCTATTACTCAAATTATCTCTGTACACTTTCACAAGTTCAGTCTGATGCAGAAAGTATGAATAAAGCTATATATCATCATCATCATCATACAGCAACGTATAAAATGAATTCATTTACAGCAACGTGAACACTTTCACAAGCTCAGTCTGATGCAGAAAGTATGAATAAAGCTATATATATATATATATATATATATATATATATACACGATATTATTCCCTGGTTAAAACAAGGGTGACAGTTACAGCTAGTGTCGACGTAGCACCACTCTGATTATAAATACACGATTGTATAATGTATATACTGGGGTTTTTTTGATACGAAACATTTTACTTAATTAACACCAATTCACTTCGCGATGAGCTGTTGGCAACCCTGTTCAGAAAGGATATTTGAAAAAGCTCAACATATGTAAGCTGTATTTTAAAATGAATGAAAAGACAACTTACCTATCACACCTGTTTATATTACTGGGTCACACCTTTCTAGTCCACGGTGAAATCAGGTCACATAGTACATACTAATTAGGTCAACATCCCGAACATAAAAATCCCATTTGTTCAACTTCTATTGTTTTTTTTAACGGAGTGGATCATTAAAGAATGGTCCGGTCTTTTAAAAAGATAAATGAATTAATTTTATTACATAACATTGCATAAGATCACCATTTTCTTCGTCTTGTCAAAAATACCGGTTTGGATCAGGAAATATATGCAGCGAGCAGCAAGTCGAACTGTGACCCGGGTTGGCGAACCTCTAGGCCGAGGAAGTACAAATTTGAACGGACAGTGTTTATCTCGCTCTTTGAATCATTACTGGGTCCATTATATGCTGTATTTTATTCACCACCCTTTGTCTTTGTCTAAGGTAGGAACACTTTGATTTCTTTAGTGCAGCTTGATGCACAGTGCTTTAAATCATTACTAGAAGACTGCATGTTATCAACATTTATAACTAGCAAGGAATTCATGCACGTTAACAATCCTGACCACAGCGTCCATACACATAACAATGTCAAGAAAGGAGTGCTAAGGCATGGATGAATTTCGTGCTACAACATAAATATTCAGTATTTTTGTAGTATACCCCCCACCCTGTAACTTTCTGTAATTTTCACTTTTCAACCAGTTTTTTACATTGTCTTGTTCATCTATGTCAAAGCTGTTGAAATAAAATGCTTTTGTAATTACCTGTGGTCTTTTTATTAGTTTTAATCACGTTTAATCCAGCCCATTGAAATACAATTGTGGTTAGCTTTAGTTTTCACCATTATGATTTACATGAGTTAGAAGCTAATAATAGCCTCTTTTGATTTTTACTCTTTAAACAATGTCCTTAGGAGCTTGACATTAGTAAAGGGGACGGCAACAACACACTGTTTAGAGGAGTAGAACTTTACCTGTGGACCTACATATCAAAGTAGAAACAACAGCTGCCTGGTACATACATTGTATAGAATCTGAAAGTTGGTGTGGTAATTGAACTTGATGGGGCGATGGAATTGGAAAACCATATGATATGGTTTTTAGTGTGGGTTTAGGACATCTTAATTTTTGCAGATTGAAACCTTACTGATTGTAACCTTACTGCTACTATAGTTATGGCAAGCACAGGAAAGAAAGACCATAGGTTGACTAGCCTGAGAAAAATGTTGTTTTCCCAAGAAAAATTCACCAACTATAATTAATTATATTTTTTGATGAAAATTACTGGGCCTTTCCCCTTGTTCTTTAGTGCCTCCTTGGGGTATAAGGTATTTTATACATACATTAATTATGTTTTACCAGAAACTTGCATTATGGAATGCGAAATGTGATTGCTACACTATCAGCAGAAAATGAATATTTGTATATATATATATATATATATATATATATATATATATATATATATATATATATATATATATATATATATATATAT